GACACGCATAGAATCTACTCCATCAGATCAGTGAACATCAAAGAAATAAGAAGGTCAAACCTTTGACCAAAAGCAATAACCTGAGACTTTTATCCTTTCTTTACTTAACCATACCTCAAAGATAACATTAATCTTGACACTTGTCAAATGGCTATAATTCGGTTTAAATGATTAAGAGTGTAATTAATTCTTTGATATCCGATAAACTCTTGTTTCATGATTTGTCTCAATTTTGAAACTGAGAAAAGGGCAATATTTTCAAAACTTTTTGATCAAACATTTTTTCAAAACTCTTCTAATTGATATTTTCAGATCTCGAAAATAAAAGAAGAAAGAAAACATTTTCAAACAGGACAATCTCTCTAGAGAGTTTAGCCTGGAAATTAACAGAGGTCCTTCAGACCTAAAAGCTTAGAATTAGAAATTGGGGCAAGGAATTTGAATGTTAGGGAGCCAAGAAAGCATATGTTTGCAAAGAAATGTGATGGTACTCCTTGGTGTGAGAGAAGAATGAAGACGAACAGATCAAGAAGAAAACCAAGATTACTTGAGCACCTTTTCACTGAAGAACATGCATCACACCTACATGAATTTGCATCTTTGCATCAAACATCCATCATCAGGATAGTTACATTCAGTTACATTTAAAGATCTTTCAGGAAAAATGAGATTAAAAGACAACAAGACATCCTCAGCAAGAGGGAGCAATCATATTCATATATAAATTTTGTCTCACTTGAGACAATTTCATTTAATACAGAAGATTTATTGTTTTTCTTAAAACAAGATTTGTCTCACTTAAGACAGTTCTTACTCAAAACAAGAAGACTTATTTCACTCAAGATTGTTTTTCTTCAAACAAGATTTGTATCACTTGAGACAGTTTTTACTCAAAAAAGACATGTTATTTCACTCAAGATTGTTTTTCTTAAAACAAGATTTGTCTCACTTGAGACAGTTTTTACTCGAAAGAAGATATTTCATTTCACTCAAGATTATTTTTTTTAAAAAAAGAAGATTTTATCTCGCTTGAGATAGTTTCCCTCGAATCAGAAGATTTTATCTCCCTTGAGACAATTTCCTTTGAAACAAATTTTGTCTCCCTTGAGACCGTTTCCCTTGAAACAAATTTAGTCTCCCTTGAAACCGTTTCCCTCGAAACAAATTTTTTCTCCCTTGAGACGGTTTCCCTCGAAACAAATTTTGTCTCCCTTGAGACAGTTTCCCTTGAAACAAATTTTGTATCCCTTGAGACGGTTTCCCATGAAACAAATTTTGTCTCCCTTGAGACAATTTCACTTGAAACAGAAGATTTTATCTCGCTTGAGATTGTTTCACTTGAAACAGAAGATTTTATCTCGCTTGAGATAGTTTCGCTCGAAATACAATATTTTTAGAAACTAAGCCTGATTTTCAGGGGTTTCTTGAAGAAAAGCTTGAGAGACCATCGTGATATGTAGGGGTTTCTTGAGGACAAGTTTAAGGGATCGTCGTGATATATAAAGGTTCCTTGATGACATACTTGAGGGACCAACGTGATATATAGGGGTTCATTGGTGACAACTAAGAAACTAAGCCTGATTTTTAGGGGTTTTTTTGAAGAAAAACTTGAGAGACCATCGTGATATGTAGGGGTTTCTTGAGGACAAGTTTGAGGGACCATCGTGATATGTAGGGGTTTTTTGAGGATAAGATTGAGGGATCATCGTGATATGTAGGGGTTCCTTGATGACACACTTGAGGGACCAACGTGATATGTAGGGGTTCCTTGGTGACAACTAAGAAACTAAGCCTGATTTTTAGGGGTTTCTTGAAGAAAAGCTTGAGAGACCATCGTGATATGTAGGGGTTTCTTGAGGACAAGTTTGAGGGACTATCGTGATATGTAGGGGTTCTTGGAATGGATGATACACTTGAGGGACCAACGTGATATGTAGGGGTTCCTTGGTGACAACTAAGAAACTAAGCCTGATTTTCAGTTGTTTATTGAAGAAAACCTTGAGAGACCATCGTGATATGTAGGGGTTTCTTGAGGACAAGTTTGAGGGACCATCGTGATATGTAGGGGTTTCTTGATGATAACTAAGAAATTGAGCTTGATTTTCAAGAGTTTCTTAATGATTAAGTCCTTCGAGCCATCAGTAAGTCTTTCGAGCATGATGCGTAAGTCCTTCGGGCCATCCATAAGACCTTCAGTGCATGATGTTTTCAAATGAGATTTTAGAAACTAAGCCATCGGGGGTTTCTTGATTCATAAGTCCTTCGGGCCATCATTAATTCTTTTGAGCATGATGCGTAAGTCCTTCGGACCATCCATAAGACCTTCAGTGCATGATATTTTCAAATGAGATTTTAAAAACTAAGCCTTCTGGGGTTTCTTGATTTGTAAGTCCTTCAGGCCATCTATAAGACCTTCAGTGTAGGATGTTTTCAAATGAGATTTAGAAACTAAGTCTTCGGGGGTTTATTGATTTGTATGTCCTTCGGGCCATCCATAAGACCTTCGGGCAGGGTGTTTTCAACATTTTCAATACTCGGTTAATCACAAATGGAGTTGAATCAGCACACCTCATTTGAGGGACTAACATTGCCAGTAGATAAATCATAATGAAGAACTTGTTCAACCTTGGATCATCATTTCCAGTGGAAAAACAAGGATAAGAAGAACCCGCGACTCGAAGAACTGAAGATAAAGACTCAGCCAAGAGAACGAAGCAAGATGACATCATTTGCAGCAAGGACTCGACGATTTCACAGAATGAGAAGAATTGACATTCCAAGTGAAGAGTTCACAATGTGACAAGAATATACCAAGATGGAAAATGGTGCTCTATTATCTTTGCTTCATTCCTATTTCACAACAATGAGCAAAGAGGGGTAGTTGTGAGCACCATATTTGAATTTGAAAAACCATCCACTCACCCATGCCCACGTAAAGCACTAACCCACTATGCCCATACCTCCACCTTGGCCAACGAGCTGCCCATTCCTTCTATTCCCAAAGTTATGCATTTTCCCGTGCTTATGTTGGTCGACCACTACCAGCAGCCTCCATACCGTGACCATGTCGATGCTGTTCCACAAGCACAGACGCCCGACAGCACTCTGACCGAGCAACTTGGTTCCCCATCCACATCTACCAACAAGCAATTATTTTATTATCTTTACATATGTAATGGATATAAAATCCAATGAAACCAACAATGTAAAAGGGGGGATTTTTCAGCAATAAAAGATAGAAAATAGAACCGAAATCTTCAAGCAAATTAAAGAGGTATTCTTTTTTTTATTCTCGTTTTGTCTTGTTAAATTCTTGAGATGCAATTAGAAAACCTAATGTAGTTTATAATTTGATTCTGCTTGTTTACTCAAATTCCATGGCTTTCTAGAAAATAAAAAAAAAATATGAAATATAGTTGAAGAGAGGGATTTAGAGTTACCATACGGTTGTGCTTCGTCTAGACTAGAGGAAGGAAAACTTCTAGGGGTGCTTATCGGAGTAAATCCGGCCACCATGGTGGTGGCCGGTTGGATTTCGGTTTTTGGAGGAGGTTCGGTTGTGGAGAAAGTGAGAGGAAATTAGAGGCTTTGGAGGAGATGATATTTGGTTGTAAACGGCTAGGGTTTGATTTTACCCGAATTAGCTAAAAACATTTATATTCATAAAACAAAAAATAGTAAAATTACGCTTAAGCCATTCCATGTTTATCGTGTTTTATAAAACAGTCACCAAACTCTTGCGGTTAATTACATTGAGGCCCTCCCAGTTCTGTCGTGTTTTTACACATTGGCCACCGTACCTCACGTCTAATCACGTTTAGGTCCCTATAATCTTACCATATTTTTACATTTTAGTCCCCGGATCTCTTTATTTTGTTTATTTCATTTTCGGCACTTCAGTTTCGTTATTTTTAATTTGGTCACTAATTTCATCTTTATCTATTAGTTTCGATTTAAGCTACATGTTCAGTTTTATTTTGTTTTAGTCACGTGTTTATAGAGTTTATTTATTTTATGTTATTTGTGTTATTGTTTGTCATATTTATATGTTTACATTTCAAGCTATATTATATTTTTTATATACATATATCATCTCTCAAATGTATTCATGCATATTAATTTATTTTATTTCATGTACATGTTGTATCATATGTAATTATATACATATTTGTTAAATTTATTTTTTGTCCTTGTATATTCATATATGAAAATGTATTGTAAATGTTTGAGATGACTATCCAGCTCAGTTGGTAGAGCACAAGATTTTTAACCTTGAGGTCGTGGGATCGAGTCCCACGGAGGGCATTTCATAATTCGGAGGTCTTTTACGGAAGTTGCTCTCAACCTGGTGTTGGGGGCAGCCTACTATCTTACTTCCCCCTTACCCTATTACATATGGTAACAAGGGACAACCATTTATTGTAAATGTTTATTCCATTTCATTCAATATGATTTATTTTAACTTGTAAAAATATCTAGTTGCCAATATCTTATTTATTCGAAGTTGTAAACCGATATGACGTTCGAACAAATGTGAACTTGAAATAAAATTGATTTTATTTTGCCAATTAATTCTTTTTATTTTAAGTTGAACAATGTGATGCATGTTACTAAATAGCGATGTATTTTATGCGAAGATCGATTCTCATTTTATAGTTGATTCATGTTTTTAATATCAACAAGTAGGGAATATTCTTTAACTTGCAAGCAATATTCGGGTTAGCTTTCCCAATGGAAGATTGTTAATTTTGAGATTTCTTGTCGAGTAAAAGAATTTTCTCTAATTAATTAATTTGAAGCAAATTAATCAATAGCAAATTAATCAATGCTTGATAAACAAATCATATTTTTAACTTTATATTTGATTATTGAGTTTCACCATTTACGACAATAATGTCTACAGATGATGATGCAGACTCAAATTCGCACCCAAGGTCTCTCTGTTTGCACTTATTATCCACTGGGAATAGCTAACTGAAACTTAAAAACAAAACAAAAAATGGGGAAACTAAGTTTTGGCATCACTTGGAAGCATCAGGAGGATTGGGTTTCTCTCTGTTATCAGCCTCGGGCGGAGCTGAAGTCTCCGGGTTTGGTTGTCCAGTACCACCATTAGCAGCAACAGCATCCTTCCCTAGTGAAGCGGGTTTATTTTCTCCAGCAGAATCTGCTGCTTTTGAACCTAATTTCCCATTCTTGGCGTCCTTGCTTTCCTTTTCCTCTTTATTTTCCTTTCCGTCTTTGCCATCTTTGGGTGGAGGGATCATATGGGGTGGAGGATTCTGTTTAAGCTTAACGAAAATCTGCCTCATTCTCGAAAGATCAGTAGGTTTCCCCGGCTTCGGACCATGAATCACCGACGCCGATGGAGTTTTATCTGAGTCTTTGTCTTTCCTTCCTCTCTTCTTCTCAATATTCGCCACCTCTCGAGGAATGATCTCGGCTATTGCTTTCCAGTAATGCAGGTGAGCTTCTTTGTGGAACTTCTCTTGATTAGCTAAGTATAGCTGCATATCAACAATACGAAAAGATCAGTTCAGTTCAGTTCTTCAGCTTCATAAAAAAGTGAAGAGAATTTGGATAGCCACAAATACTTATTTCTTCTACCTTCTCTCTTCCTCGGTTGTTAGCCTTATTGGTTTCACAATTCTGATTCCTTTTCTCGTAAAACGATCGTTTATACTCATCTGCTTCGGCGATTATCTTATCCCGCATCTCCTTCTCTCGTTTCCCCTTCTCCTCCAGATGAATGGCGTTTAAGCTGCACCGGAAGGAATTTAAAAACAATGAATAAATGAGAAATTCAGAAAAGAAGGGAAAACGAAACAAACCGTCTCCATTCCCGTCGCGCGAAGTTTTCCTCTTGCATCTGCTCAGGTGGAGGCAACAGCGGCCCTTCAGAGGCGAAAATACCATCGTCATCGTCATCAACATCATGACCACGACCACCACCGCCACCAGGAATTCCACTACCATCCATCGCGGACCCTCCAAATGGGGTCATGAACTCAGCGTTGGACGCCGACAATCCGAACCCATAAACGTCCGGGGAAGGTGGGTCGTTATGATTGTCGATGTTATTATCAATGTTGTTATTGTCAGTGACGATATACCCAAGGTTTTGACTGTGACTGCGACTGTGGTTGTGAGCGATGTACGTAGCAGTATCGGCGGTGAGATCACCGTAAGGGAAAGCTTGTGGAGGAGGGAAAGATGAGGAACTGTAGGCTCCGATGCTCGAGGCATGGTCGTCGATAGAGCGAGAAGATGAATTAATGTCTTCTCCTCCGTCGTTGTTCATGGCATTGAAGGACTCCATTGATGATGAAATGGAAGATCCTTAAAGTTTCGGTTACGTTGTAGGGTGTTCAAGTTATTTTTTGTCAGAGTACATCGTTATATTCGGATCAAGAGAGAGGGAAGAGGGAGTTCGTTGGCTTGGCTGATATTTAACCTTTCCATCAGTTGGAGCAGATAAATCGGTGTACCCATGAAGTCATTCGAAATCCAGAGAAAGAAGGGGCTACTAGTATTATGGCCCAAGACTAAATCCAACTGCCTTTTTGGTCATTTTTAGCCCACTTGCTTATGCGCATCGGGGAGCAAATATGCAAACATTAATGGCAGTCACAGAAGATGATCAGTACCAAATTTATTGGTTGCTATATCATTTATCAAGCATAAAACTAGCATAATAAAACTTCTGAAAACCTTCACAACATTCATTTACTGTAAATCATCGTCCTTGTGGATCTATTATCTTAAACTATTATTGCCAGTGCCACCACAGGCTTCAAAACTCCTGTGAGTCTCCGTGAGCAAACAATTTCCTCTTCGGTCCTTCCTTCTCCTTCCACCCTCTTTCATGAGACCTTTCCCCCCCTCTTATGTCGATCCATATTCCCATACTTTTGCCTGTGAATTGCTTCAATACCCCTTCTCCACTTCACCACTTTCCCTCGTATCCACACCTTTTTTCTTTCACTCGAAAACAGCACGATTCGAAGTCATGAAAACGTAAAGAGGAGGGGTGATTATCGAGCGGGTGAACCGCGAGTTGGGTAGTGCTCGACTCGTGTTTTTTAAAAAAAATTGTTATTCGACTCGTTGCTCGTTAAGGTCGTTAAAATTTTTCTCGACTCGTGTTCATTAAAGAAACTTGTTGCTTGACTCGTGCTCGTTAAGCTCGTTGCTCGTTAAGTTCACTGAAATTTTTATCTTATTTTTTTAACTATAGATAAAATATATTAATACTATAAAGTAAAAGATTAGTCATTTATCATGTTTTTATTATCTATTAGTAAACTAGTAATTTTTGAATGAAATATTTTTTAAAAATAACTACTACATAATTAATGAGTTGTTTTCTGGTCATTTTTAACGCATTCTTTCGTTTATAAATAGAGAGTTTTTGTGCTCATTTAAATTAATCCCTGTTAGGTATGGCTCATAAATATACTAGTAAAGAGGATAGGAGATGGAGCGGAGTGAGCGAACATCAACTGTCCTTACAAAGAAAGTCTCGTTGTGGGGTTACGAATTATGTGGGTTGGGGGTGCGGGGGCGCAGCCCCCGCGGTACGGTACAGGGTTAATTTTGTAATTATGTACCAGGGTTTTCTATTATAAATAGAGATGTAACCTAGACCTAAAATATCATTGAATAAAAACTTCTAGCACCGCCTAGGCACCGAGGAAGTAAGCACATTGCCGAACCTCGTAAAATTCTCGTGTTCTTTTGTTTTCTTTACCCGTTTTCGTCAACAATTGGTATCAGAGCTCAGGAGCAAAATTCGAAGTCGCGAAATTCGATGGTCAGGGTAACTTCGGATTATGGCAAACGAGGGTGAAGGATCTATTGGCGCAGCAAGGGATCTTGAAGGCTTTGCGATCTACAAAGCCGGCGTCGATGGATGAGGAAGATTGGGAAGAATTGCAGCAGCGAGCGGCAGGAACCATACGATTATGCTTGGCGGACGAGGTCATGTATCACGTCATGCATCTATCGTCTCCAGACGAAATTTGGAGGAAGTTGGAAAGTCAGTTTATGTCCAAATCCTTAACGACAAAACTGTATCTGAAGCAGCGGCTGTATGGGCTGAAGATGCAGGACGATCACGATTTGGCGCAACACGTGAATGTCTTCAATCAAATCGTTTCTGATCTGGCTCGGCTTGATGTGAAAATTGAGGATGAAGACAGAGCGATGATTCTGTTGTGTTCGTTGCCTCCCTCTTACGAACACATGGTGACTACTCTTACATATGGGAAAGAGACTATCAATGTTGAGGAGATTACTGCAGCCTTGTTGGCTCACAACCAGCGGAAGCAGAATGCAGGGGAAAGCTCTCAAGCCGATAGCTTATATGTCAAGGGTAATCGAGATCGTGGACGGAAGCCAGAGAAGGCAGGGTCCGGGAAGCGGAATTCCAGATCCAAATCCAGGGATAAGAAGACGATTCACTGTTACAAGTGCAAGGAGGCGGGACATATGAAGCGAGACTGTCCGAAGTTGAAAAAGCAGACTGATGAGAAGCGTGATGGCTCATCCAAGTCTGTGAACGTGGTCGAGGATGATAATTCTGATTGCAGTGAGGGTGATATGCTTTCTATTTCAACGACACAATTGACGGATGCTTGGATTCTTGATTCTAAATGTTCTTATCACATCACGCCAAATAGGGAATGGTTTTCGACATACAGGCCGGTTAATTCTGGTTCGGTTTATTTGGGTGATGATCGATGTTGTAATATTGTTGGTATTGGTGATGTCAGAATTAAGATGCACGATGGCTCCGTTCGGACGTTGAGTGGTGTTTGACATATCCCAGACTTGAAGAAGAATTTGATTTCCTTGGGCACTTTGCACAAGAATGGTTTTATCCCTAAGGCTGACGAGGATAGGGAAACCATTCGGATTGTTAAAGGAGCATTGACTGTGATGAAAGGCAAGATGACTGCAGGGAATATCTACAGATTGTATGGGGGCCTTCCACGACATCGTCTTTGGGTGGATCTAGGTACTATGTTACTTTTATTGATGATTTTTCACGGAAAGTTTGGGTGTATTTTTTGAAACATAAATCTGAAGTTTTTGAGAAGTTCAAGCTGTGGAAAGCTGAGGTAGAAAACCAAACAGGACGAAAAATCAAGTGTTTGCGGTCTGACAATGGTACGGAGTACACAGATTCACAGTTCCTACAATTCTGTAAGGAGCATGGGATTCAGAGGCATTTTACAGTGCGCAAGACACCACAACAGAATGGTGTTGCGGAACGAATGAATAGGTCGTTGAATGAAAGAGCCAGATGTTTGCGGTTGAATGCGGGGCTTCCCAAACACTTCTGGGCTGAGGCTGTTAACATGGCGTGTTACCTTATCAACAGATCGCCAAGGGCATCGCTGGCTGGGAAAGTTACAGAAGAGGTATGGACTGGTCATGATGTTAGTTTTGATAACTTACGGATTTTTGGTTGTCCTGCTTATGTGCATGTACCTGCTGATGAGAGATCCAAACTTGATGCAAAATCGAAGGAGTGCATTTTTCTGGGTTACAAGAAAGGTGTCAAAGGATTCAAGTTCTGGGATCCAGTTGCGAAGAAAGTTGTGATTAGTAGAGATTTCGTTTTTGATGAACAATCCATGTTGCAGCAGAAGCAAGACACGACAGTGGTGGATTTCGAGCAGTTTCCAGTTGAGAAACCAGAAACTTCTTAACCGACTTCTGGTGGTTCCACTACGGATGATTTGCAGGATTATAGTCTCGCCAGAGACAGGGTGAGACGGACGAATATAAAGCCTCCGAACAGATTGGGTTTTGAAGACTTGGTATCTTTTGCACTTATTGTTAGCAGTGATGATCCGGTTACTTTTCATGATGCCGTTACTAGTCAGGAAAACGACAAGTGGATGGCAGCCATGGTTGAGGAGATGGAGTCTTTGAATCACAATCGCACATGGGAGTTAGTTCCCCTTCCTGAGGGTAAGAAGCCGATTGGTTGCAAATGGGTGTATAAGAAGAAACCAGTAGTAACAGAAAAAGAGGGGGAGAAGTTCAAGGCTCGTTTGGTAGCGAAGGGTTTTTCACAGCAGAAAGGAGTTGATTATGATGAAATCTTTTCTCCTGTGGTCAGGCACACTTCAATCCGAGCAGTACTTGCATTGGTGGCTAGTTGGGATTTGCATTTAGAGCAGATGGATGTTAAAATTGCTTTTTTGCATGGTGATTTAGAGGAGCAGATCTACATGCGGCAACCTGAAGGTTTCACTCTACCTGGAAACGAGCATTTAGTTTGCAGATTGAAGAAATCTTTGTACGGGTTGAAACAGTCTCCGAGACAGTGGTATAAACGGTTTGACTCCTATATGATCAAGATTGGCTACAACCAATGTGAGTATGATTGTTGTGTCTATGTTAAGAGCCTTGATGATGGTTCTTTTATTTTTCTATTACTGTATGTTGATGATATGTTGATTGCTGCGAAGAACATGGATGATGTTATCGGTTTGAAAACTTTATTGAGTCAGGAATTTGATATGAAAGATTTAGGTGCTGCAAAGAAAATTCTTGGAATGGAAATTTGCAGGGACAGAGACTCAAGGAAACTGCGGCTATCTCAACGGGGTTATGTTGAGAAAATGCTAGAAAGGTTTGCGATGAGCAGCGCAAAACCAGTTAGCACTCCATTGGCGAATCACTTTAAGCTCTCATCAGAACAGTGCCCCAAGACAGATAAGGAAGCTGAAGATATGGCAAAGGTTCCGTATTCTAATGCTGTTGGCTGCTTGATGTATGCGATGGTATGTACTCGTCCTGATTTAGCTCATGTTGTTAGTCAAGTTTGTAAGTACATGTCTAAACCTGGTAAGCAACATTGGGAAGCAGTCAAGTGGATCTTTCGGTACTTAAAGGGTACTGTGGGACATGGAATTGTTTTTGGGAGTCAGCGGGATAATCCTTTGGTTGTAGGATATGTGGATTCAGACTATGCAGGTGACTTGGATAATAGAAGATCTACGACAGGGTATGTCTTTACTCTTGGTGGAGGGCCTATTTGTTGGAAGTCTACTGTTCAATCTATTGTGGCTCTATCTACAACTGAAGCTGAGTACATGGCAGCGGCTGAAGCTGCAAAAGAAGCTTTATGGCTTACTGGTTTAGTGAAGGAGTTGGGTGTTCAACAAGGTGGAGTTCAGTTGCTTTGTGATAATCAAAGTGCTATTCACTTGGCTAAGAATCAGGTGTATCGTGCTAGAACTAAACATATTGATGTAAGGTTCCACAAGATCAGAGAGTTGGTTGCATCTGGAGAGGTTTTGTTTCAGAAGGTACATACTGATGAAAATGCCGCTGATATGTTCACTAAGCCAGTTACGACAGACAAGTTCAAGCATTGCTTGGACTTGTTGAATGTTTCGAGTTATTAAAGAATCAAGGTAACCCAACCCACATTGAATTTTCAAGAAGCAGGATATTCGCCAAGGTGGAGATTTGTTAGGTATGGCTCATAAATGTACCAGGGTTTTCTATTATAAATAGAGATGTAACCTAGACCTAAAATATCATTAAATAAAAACTTCTAGCGCCGCCTAGGCACCGAGGACGTAAGCACATTGCCGAACCTCGTAAAATTCTCGTGTTCTTTTGTTTTCTTTACCCGTTTTCGTCAACAATCCCAAATACAATTCTCTTTACTACAACAACAACAACAACAATACCCTATTCCCATATGCAATGGGGTAAGGGGAGGTAAGGTAGTAGGCTGCCCCCAAACGCCAGGTTTGAAAGCAGCTTCCGTGTAAGACCTCCAGCAGTCAGAAAATTAAAAAGAAAGATAAAATGCAATGCATGTATAAATAAATAGAATAAATACATAGCTGAAACATGCATTATATGCAGTCCACGTATGCGCGTCTTTAATGGGAAGTAATCCTTGCAAATAAATCTCTGCGTGAAAATCTCTGCATATAGATAAAAACGTAAGACCCGACTAAATTTTAAAAGATGAAACCTGAAGAGAATGATACACAATAATCAACGATAGCAAGCTACAAGAAGGAATTAAGTCAAATGGGTTAAAACCTAAACTAAGGCAACACTACTCCGCTACCCTAGTTCTAAGCCTTCAAAAATTCTAATGACAGAAACGCATATAAAGTAAAAGTCATTGGAAATTATTACAAAGGCATTAAAAGGAAGACAGAGATGTTACACCCTATGTTTGTGACCCGTACTACTCGGCTACCCTAGTCTTAAGTCTCCATACTTTCCTATCAGAGGTCATGTCCTCGGTAATGGCTAAATCCTTCAAATCATATCTCAAGCAGTCTTCCCACTTCCTCCTTGGTCGTCCTCTCCTTCTGGCACCGTCAACTGTAATCGACTCTACCCTCCTGACCGCATCCGACGGTTGTCGCCTAAGGACATGTCCAAACCACCGTAATCTTCCCTCCCTCATCTTTTCGGATACCGGCACCACCTCCAAGGACATCCTAATAGCAGAGTTTGGTGTCATGTCCCACAGAGTCCTACCACATGTCCATCGAAGCATTCTCTTTACTCTTTTGTATAAAATGTTATTCAGGTTTTCTACTTCCTTTAAAGTTTTAAGAGAGTAGTATCATCGATTTCCACTTCAGATTTTGAGTGTACAAAATTTTGAAAGATCGTATTAACATCAAAGGACAATGCTCACTTCGAGGATTATACAAATCAATACGATTTTACTTCTAAGATAATAATCTCTCCATGATTCGATCAAAGCTTTATTTTATTTTCTTTAATTTATTCTCAATATATGAATAAAAGTAACATAACAAGGCATAATTCGATAAAAAAAAATTGAATTTATTCATAGTGAGAAGTAATTATTATAGTATAGTCGAAATAAAAATTGGATCTAACATAGATCCCGACCTAAATTCACTCCATTACTACGCAGAATAGGAAGAATAGGATTTGAGCCTAGGGAGTTGTAGGGCCTCATTCTACCATTGAACTAAAGCTGAAGAGGTTGTAGGGCCCCACTCCTACGATTTGAGCCATGGCCTGGCTTACACTCTTAAATTCATCAATATCTTAAAATTTTTAAATTAATATAATATCTACACATGACGATTCAAAATAATTTTTTTATTAATTTACATTTAACTGTTGGAAATTTTTTATATAAAATAAATACTTTGGTTTACTTTGTGATATATACGGAATTAAAGTAATCGAAGATATCAGTTTGCTATGTGTGAACTAATTATCAAGTTCCAACAGGATAATTTTATCGTACGACAGTTTAATATACAACTAAAAAAATATTATAAAAAGTATTATTATTATTTTTTAATATTTTTAATAAAATTTTACTTAAAACATTATATTTATACCGAAAAAGGCCACTGTCTGTTTATAATAAATTACAAAGATGCACTTTACTCCACAAATTACAAAGTTTACCTACTTAGACACCAAGTGACAGCGCTTCATAATAAATTTCTTAAATTTTTTGGACCATTGCATATATAGAGAACATATATTTTTTTTAAAATTCGGACTCGCGGGTTAAATTTTAGTGCTTTCGTGATGGGTTTTTTTTTCTTTCAAATTTGTTATAAAATAGGACCAGACTCGTAGGCTATATGAACTAAACAATAATGATGAGGGGGCACGAGAGGATTGGTAAAACTGTGGGAGCAATTTTCCACGTGGATCGGTTTCTATAGTTATGGTCAAATAAAACACACTTGTCATACAATCCAAAGCCCCACTTTCTGGTTCACTATCAGGCCGAACCCCCATTCCTTTACAATAAACACATCTTCAGAAATCAAGGGCAAAACTCAACTCATATGCCCCTCTCTGCCTACGGTAGCTGGCTGGCTGGCCTTAGAGTGAACCGTCTAAAGGTATTGTTTTTGGCCAACTACAATCCTCCATAAGCATAAAACCAAAAATTCTTAAAACCGATAAAAGCTTTTTTTTTTCTTCTTTTTTTTGTTTTGTTTTGGTAATTAGTGATCAGTCTCACTTTCATGGGGTTCTCAAAGAGAAAAGCTACTGCAAGTCTAGTTAAAAGGACTAGCCACGTGGAATTCTGGTGAAGAAGTTGAAGTCATGGTGCTGCACTCTAAGTTGCTTCAGCCATGAATCCGCAACGCTTAAGAGCGACACCAGTCTTTGTTGGTCCCGTCCGGAGTTGCCCGAGACCCACACGTTTCCTTGCATCTTGTAAGTTGCCAAGCCGAACGGTGGAAGGGAGACGCCTTCCCCTTCCTTTCGCTTCCTTTCGGGACTCTCGATGTCATCTTCCAGGTCCATATCTGCACCGGCAATTAACGTATCAGCAAAACAAGCATACATACGTATCTAGGAAGCAATTAGCTCGACACTGTTATTGATTTTAGGCATGCAAATTGACAGAAAGAGCACCTTGGAAAGAAGATGATAGAGTGTGATACGTAAGGAAGCACGTCGACAAGTCTTTTATGGTCCTTCCCATGGGAATGTGATAAATCGGGTACCTAATATCATCCACATCGAACAATAACCCTTGGTCAATAACCCGAAACCATATAATCTCTCTTCCATAAGTTGAATCATATTAATGTCATCTATCATGCAGAGACGAGGTTATGAATTGTTAGAACAAAGTAAGGGATAGAGAAGGACCAGGAAACAGCCATCCAACTAGCCGGCGAAAGATCTACGCTCCTCAGTGACATCAAACCAGGGTATCTTCTCGATAATCCATTAATCTGTTAAAAACAAAAGTACCATAACACATCAACAATAGAATCCCGTTAACTGAAAATAAACGGACAAAATTGTCGCGATCGTGTTCTCAATAACGGATCACTTATTCTTCCCTGTGACAAGAGTAAATGTTCAAAAACAACGTCATACAAAAAAGCAAGCATTTATGCTCATGTAAGGATTAGATATAAATTGATAATATCCTTGAAAGAAAGGAAAATATGAATCTGGAAAGCAAAAAAGATGAAGGAAAAGGATTTTTCCTATTCAAAGGTCAAAAGTTTTACTTCATCTTTATAAGATGCTATATTCTGACAAATACATAGCTAATTTGTCTTGTCTAATCAATTCAATTAGATAAGGCAGGTAATAAGGAAGGAATCAGGTAAAAACGTACCTTATCCATGAGTGGAACTCTTCCATAAGGAGTTGATCGCTCGAAATACTGAAAGTAAAGGTAACCCAACCTATTATTCACATGCCAAAGGCTGTCGTGCTCGGAGCCGCCTTCCTCCGACGAGCATCCGTCCCATCTCCATAATTTATCACTCTCGTTCTCATCACTCAATGAATCACTAAACGAATCCCTCTCGCAATCACCGGATTCGGACTCCTCCCTGTGAAAGATTTCGGTACGATTCTTTCACATTTGGTAACGATTAAAACTAAAAAAAAGAGCTTCAACTACAGGAAGTTTTTTTTTACCGGAAGCTGTTGACCGAAGAGTCGCTGGTGAAGATTTGAATGGCGGAGAGATAAGGAACGTAGTATTGGACTAAGGTTTCGCCGTTGTTTAAGACGATGGGAACGCCGGCACCATACGCGCTCCACTCATCGTAACAATTCCAAAGATCACCCAATGTGAAATATTCGACCTTTTTTCTTTCCCAAGGGTGCCATAAACGATTAAGGTTCCTTATTTCACTCTGCAAAAACAAACATAATAAACAATCAAAATCGTGAAACCAAAAACGACGACAACAAGAAGAAGAAGAGAAAGGGCGACCTTGGGGAGGAATTGGGATTTGACGGTTGGAGTGGTGCAATGGAGGAAGCAGGCAAGGTTAGATTGCGCCGACCCTGTTTCAAAAATCATGATTTCCGACCAAAGGAGACCGGAGAGAGAGAGCTTGGCTTGTTTGTCTTGTTTTTTTTCTTGTTTCTTTTTGTCTCTCTAACTCAACCCTGAAAACAGAGGAACCTCAAAAAAAGAAAAGAAAAGAAAAACACAAAACGAAGGGTAGAACAAGGGAGAGAGAGGAGGAGAGAGATTGTCGCGGATTTGGTTATACGATGGGAATTTGAGACTCGAGAGAAATTCTAAATTTTGACGCTTGGACAGCTAAATTTAAGGAAACAGAAAAGGAATAGAATTAAGATCAAACTCTTGCTGGGGTTGACATTGTTGAACAATTCAACTCTTTTCCGGTCACCGGTTTATCTGTATATTACCCTTTAAAAAAAGTTAAATTATGTTTTCTTCCTTTAAAACTTAAAGAAAACTCAAGCCTACTATGCTTTGATCAACAATGAAGAAACAGGTTTTCTTCTCTCTTTTGCCCAAAAAACACGACCCTTCAACGCTTTAAAGAAACCAAGGGAAAGGATCTCTTCTAATTAACTTCAAGCTTCTTCTTTTATTAAATTTCAACAGAAACCCATGATTTCTGGGTAAAAGATTCGTTGGTTTTGGGTCTTTTGAGTAGCAGAAAATCAATAAAAGAACCAACTTTTTTCAGGGAAGCAAAAACCAGAGCACAAATACTATAGACTGTATACTAATGTGAGAAACAGAGCGAAAAATATCGGATTTATGGACAGAATTAATCGGTCTCTCTATGCTTTCTAGAAACATCTATCAAAAACTATATATCAATTAAATCTTGGGATTAATATTTTAATCTTCCAGGGAAAATGAAATGGAAAAAATCTAAACGGAAAAGTATACAAAGTTCGGTAGAAAAGCAGGACTCGTTATTGTTTGAAAATTACATTATTTATATTATATTTTTATTATTTTCAAGGCTTCTAATTACAAAAAAATGAAATTTTAATTAGTTTTAAAATCATTTTATAATTATCAAATGAAATGAAATTAAGTTATATACTTATATTCCAACTTAAATATTGTAACATATACATTATTAAAGTTAATACATATATGTCCATTTTTATTATTTTATAAGAACTATACTATGAAAATTATATTTCTCCTCTTTTTTATTATTTTATTTTTTCTTTATCAAATTTGTGGTGGCAAATGTTTAATATATGTAAAATAAGAATAAAAATGAAAAAAATTTGATTTTGATAATTAAAGTAAATTTTGAGTTGTGGATATCATTTTTTAATAGTTTAGAATGATTATAAAATATTATATATTTAATTTTTTTCCTTATATAATTTAAAAAATATTTTTTAATCATTAAAATCACTTGACGAGTTGATTGTGGATGATATTAAAATAATCGATCAATTGTGTTATTGTACGGTTAAATGAAAGTAGTGAACTTTATACCATAATAGCCCTAATATATATCAATTGATTTTATACCAAATAAGGTGAATTTTATAATTTTATAGTACCATAACAAGTTTAATTTTTTAAGTAATTTATATATTAAATAAATTGTTACGAATTAATTGGTAGAAAATAAAAAGTTTTTAAGTCGGTAGGTATTAATTTATACCGATATAAGTTGTTAAGTTCTAGTTTATTTTATATGTTGAAATATAGATTTTAGTACAAAAATTAATAAATATTAAAATATTATTAAAAATAAATGAATTTTATGAAATTGAACAAATACTACTATAATTTTTGTTTTTTAATTGCCGTTAATTTGTTTCTTGCCAGGATAAAATAAAGGAAAAGCCTTTATGCTTTGATTAAGATGCCTAAACAATGTTCTTGGTAAAACGCGTTAACGTACAGGGGAGAGTACGTTAAATATTAAAATAAATAAATTGTAAAAATGTTGCACGATTTAACCCTAGCAATAAAAAAGGGTCAAGTATAGTAATGGTTACTGAATTTTTTTAAAGTTTTTATTTAGGTCTTTTAATTTTTAAAACTTGTAATATAGTCCCCTAACATTTAGTCTGTTTGCAATATGATCCCCGACCGTTACACTGCCGTTAGTACGTTTGCAATATGGTCACTGAACTTTTCAGGCACTTGCATTTAGGTCCCCCAACTTTTAAAACTTACAACACAGTCCTCAATTTCATTTTAAACCCCAAATTCCTTTTCGATCTCCAATTTCCTTTTTCGCTTCTCTCTTCTCATTTCCAGCGTAACTTTTTAGTCGGGATAAATGAGAAATTCTAATATAACTTTGAATTATGTGGAGGTGTTGACTTGAATAAAGGTACATTGAGAGAAGACCCGACCAAGGGACTATCGGGACCATCAACGATTCAAGGTGTAATGTTAGATACACGTCATTTCAGGTGAAGCATAGATGTTCGATGAAATGTTTGTGAGGAAAAATGGGGTTAGAAATACATAGTTGACAAATACTACTAAGATGAACTAAGTATCATTGTTAAAAGTACTTAACAAATATGGAATTATTTTGTATAAATTACATATAATAATTTCTTCATTTAATCCTTGTAGTTAAATATTTTCCAACAGATGATCAAATATAATGAAATCCCAAACAGCGCATTCACCTCTCAATCTCTTTCGCAACTCGAAAGGCATCATGATAGGGTCAAGTAGCTGCTCCAAATGTATTACCCTGTCATGATGCCTTTCGAGTTGCGTGCATGCATAATTGTCTTATAAAGCTACAATTCAATACAATTCAACTATAAAATTTCCAAAACATGTAAAAAATCCAATTTATTCACGATATATCAGTCTCATAATCAACATGAACTTATTAAAAAGAATACGAGCTCACAGGACGTCGAAAACAACAAGTCGGATCAATACAATTCTCGGTAAACTAGTACCAACAATATCTCTATAACACCCCCAACCCGTACCCTACCCGGATACGAGTCCGAGGTGTCACATTGACTTTTCAAAACATTTACTTGAATAAAATAGTGAGTAATTTAAAACTTTTATACATGTAACTTATTCAAAAGATTTCCAGAACTATTCAGAGCTTAAATGTTTTTGCAAAACTAATCAGAGCGTATACAATTCAAAACATTAATTACATGCCAACTATTTTCAAGGTATAGAATACATCTAATTTAAGGCATATTTTCTGATCTGATCTTCGGTAAGAAGTAACTGACTTGTCTTGCTCCACTTTGCTCTTTACTCTTTTCACTTCTGCAACCTACGTGTGAAACAATCACACGCTAAGTCTATGACTTAGTGAGACAAATAAACATGTAATATAAACTATAGCTTGTAATCATGCATGAACAATTACTACTATCACTCATACCCTTATTCATGTAACAAATCCCTATAACACATATGCAATACATCATTACATGTAAGAACATATACACACACATATACTCATCACTCATCATTTCCATCTTTAGCCTTATTTCATTATCAATATTATTATCGTTTATATCACTTAATACATATCCTCTTATACCTATTATTTTAACCAACATTTGACTTATTTAATCATACAATTAACATATCATCATATAATATCATTTATAGCACAAAAGCATACACATCACATGTAATATATTCATTGTTATTTCTTTATTAGCCAATGTACACATGTGAGAACTATAGATATGTGAGTCTATAGAGGTTGTGCACTAATGCTGTCACCACAGCTCGTATAAATGCACCAAAGTGCCACGTATAATTGCACCGTAGTGCCGCGTAGAAATGTACCGTAGTGCCATATAAGATTGTCCCTAAGGACCACATAGAAAATTCCTTAAGAATCATATACATATGCTAGGGATCAAGTATGTGTATCACAAGACCTCACACATGTTCCAAAGAATACATATATGTCCCAAAAGACCGCGTAGACCCTCGACTCTTGGCATGCCAACTATACCCCTAGCTCTCATGACACATAACATGGGCATTGTCATTTATGTCATTTCACATATTCATATATATACACATAGTTCACTTACACGTAGAACATTTTCATATTATTCACATTTACATGTCACATAGCTTATATATTTTCTCACGTAGTCACAGAGATCCATGTCAAATAACATATATCCAAAGTGCATATAATCACGTACATCATATCATATAGCTTAGATCATTTCTCAAGTATTCATGTAAACATACATATCATATCTTGTTCAAATATGATTGTATATACTTTATATAGCACATAGAAACACCTAGAACACTTTCACATAGCTTATATCAATTTTCAAAGTCCTTTCATATTACTTGATAACATATATCATATATGTATATAATAACTTATATCATATCATCTACCTTATGCTCCCTTTCTTTGTATTCCCTTAGATTACATAAATTATGTCATATTTCTAAACATATATCATTTAATAGAATTTTATTTATGTATTAATTTAATCTATTTACTTAATTCAATTTCATATATTCATTATAATCTTTTCATAGAGCTCCATAGATCCTTAGCATATAATTTATCTTACATATTCGTATTGTCCCTTTATATTCAAGTTTCCTAATTGATATACTATTCTCATTTCATTCTATAATTCAATCTTATTTAGTTCCTTTAACTCTCATTAAATCAAAAAGCTCTATTATACTAATGCTCATAATGAATTATACCACTATGTACTTGTCCAACTCATGCTTCCATTATGCATATATTGTTACACATATTTACCTAGTTCATATCACTTCTCATGAACTTACTTTCATCATATTTTCCTATTATTACATATTTTATCTCATAACCATGTATTCACATAGTTTTATATTTCATTATCATATGACTTATATTTGTTCTCCTATGACTCTTCATAGACATCTATTTCCATTTCCATATATCTCTTGACCTATCTTCTATATTCCTATAATTTCATAACTTATTCTATATTCTCTCATTAACACTTAATAGTATTTTTACATAAAACACATAGCACATACAAAAAAACATATCAATTCATATAATCAAACATACATACACTTCATATTGTTAACATACTTATAATCAAGACTTAATAAGCTATTACTATAGGAAATAGACTTATCACAAGTCCATTTTTCATATAATCTTATAAAAATAAGATGCATTCACCTTGGCCTCACTAAGTTCCAATCCACTTTTATGATTTCCTCTCTTTCGATCGAATCTTAACTCGATAATCGTTCCAGAATTTGTTCATGTTCGATATCTACATAATCATACATTGATACATATCAGTATCCAATTGCTATACTCTAATATATCATTTCTTAGACCAAAAGAAATGTCTGTTTCAATTTCCCTTGAAGTGCATCGATGCATTCTACAGTGTATCGATGCATCCCCTAACATGTGCATCGATGCACTACCCATGCATCGATAGACAAATCACCTTCGATGTTTTAATATTAAGGGGTGCATCGATGCACTACTTATGCATCGATACACTGATAACGTTCGATGTTTTTATTTAAAGAAGTGGATCGATACACTTCATGTGCATCGATACACCTTGAACAATTTCTGGGATTAACTCATGATGCATCGGTACACAATGAATGTGCATCGATGCACTCTGCCCATAATTCACTTCTTGAACCCGAAACCTTATCCATTTTAACTTAAATCCTTCGTCTTTCATCCCCTTTTATATTCTTAACTCTAGTACACATACTTAAACCAAAATATACCCATTTATTTCATCTTAAACCTCAAA